TCCCTCCCTCCCGCTTCCAGCCGCGCCTCCGCCTCCCTCGGCTCCAGGCTCCTAACCAGCGCCTCCTGCCCGGTTGGCCGGCCAGCGGCCCGGAGCTGTCCGCCTCGTGGTGCTGAACCCCCTGCGCTCCCGCTATGCGCCGGAGCAGGATCTCGAGGGCCCCCCCACCCCGCGGTCACACTGCGTCTGAGAGAGCAGCGGGCACCGGGCACAGGGCTGGGAAGGTCGCTGAGCCCCGGGAGGTGGGCACAGTGCTATGGGTTCCCATCTATCTGTGGCCCTAGGGTCACAGGGTGCCATTGGGGGATAGGTAAGGGGACGCGTGGGAGATGGGTGGAGGGCTTAGAAAAGCCTGTGTCTCCTGTCCATACCCCGGACTCATGGACTGCAGCTTGGCCCACACGCCAGGCCCGGGGTGTGGGCATGTCTTCAGCCCCATTCGAGAGCTGGGGCCTGAGTCACCAGGAGGAAGAGATGGGGGGCGGGTCAGAGGATGGGGCTCCTCTTCCTTCCTGCAGATGACCTTTAAAGCTGCCACCTTCCCACACACACCCAGCCACCCAGCCGGGACCCTCCCCCACACACCAATCCCTACCTTTGTGTGCAAAGGGGGTGGGAGTGCTGCAGGGCCAGGGACCAGGGTCACCTCTGAGCGACATGCTGGGGCTGGCAGGGGCATCTGAAAGGGAGGGGACTGGGGAAGAGGCTCCTGCCATGGCTGCTGCGTAGGAGGGAATGGGAGCTGGAGCCCGAGCAGAGGGAGGGCAGCTCCAAGATGCTCTGGACTCCCCTCCTGCAGCAGAATGGGGAGGCCGGCCCTGGGTAGGGTGGCGGGCAAGCTGCAGTGCCAGCCTGTGCTGAACGATATGGGGAGGGCCCTGTGCGACCTGCCCCCAGCAGGTACACACACACTAACAAGTGCTAAGGAGCATGGCATCCCTGCACACGTCCCCCGGGCGCTGTCCTTTCTTCCACAGGTGTCAATAGAGGCAAGGTTAGCTCAGACACATGCTGAGCACATGCCAAGCCCAGGCCCTCCAGCACACACACCTGTGTGAGTGTGAGTGTGTGTGTGTGTGTAGCAGTTGGGGGGGGGGTGTCAGCAAGGAAGGACAGGCTTTTCCCTGGACACAGAGACCTGATGCCACTCCACTCTAGAAAGAGCCCAGCTGTGAAACACACAAACACGTCAAACCCAAACAACTAACGGGAGAGGTGATGTGGCAGCCAGATGAGGATTCAGAGCTGTCAGACTGGCTGAAGAGAGACAGGCTGTCTCCCAGCTCCGACTGCTCTCACCGTCTCTGGCTGGCTTGGTGACTGCTCCCCAGGGTAGGTGAGTGACGGGCCAGGCCCCTAAGCACAGGGGTTGACAGGTGCTGAGGTAGAGGAGCCACACAGCAGCCCCAGCCTACTCACCAAGGCAGCCTCACAAAAGACGTGGGACTTTATACATGGAGCCAGCCCCGGAGGCCCATTACATGCCCGCAGTAAGTGGGCTGCACAGTCCCACTCCAGCCCGTGGACATGCAGCTACACACCCAGTCTTACATGCAGAGCTGGCCATGTGGACACAGTCATACACAGCAGTACATGTAAACACAGACACTCAGCCGTGCATGCAGACACAGCCGTGATACACAGCTTTAAATGTGCACACACAGCTGTACACATGGACACACAGTCACAAACATGCGGCCAGAGGGCACGCTCATAAACAATAAAGCCACCCCCAAGGCTTGTTCCAGCTGCCCTCTGCCCTATGTGGACATACCACAGAGCTGTATTCATGCATAGGCCTATAGCTTTACATGCACACATACAGAAAAAGGCGACTTTACACATGAACACACTACCACACACACAGAGTGTATGGAAAAAGCCCTACAGCGATGCTCCTAGCCAGCCGGCCTCTCACCCCGTAACACACCCACAAACACACACACAAAGCACAGCAACACATGCACACAGCCACACAGCCATCCACACATACAGCCACACCCAGCCACAATCACATCCTGATGCCCAATAGGGCTCAGCCTCACCCAGGACTACTGCCAGCAGACCCATCCATGGGACATCCTCACCTCCTGGGCAGATACAGCATGAACACAGGCATGCTGGAGCCACAGACACAAATGCATTCCCTGCAGGCAGACAAAGGCAGGCTGGGAGCCTCTGGGGCTGCTGCAGTGGAGGGGCAGCTACCAATTGGAGCCACAGAGCAGGGAGTAGAGGGCCTCCAAGACCCCTTTCTGCCCCTCACCCCAGGGTACCTGGCCCCCTTCCTTCCTCTTCTTGGGCTGAGGTGCTTCTGTCCACTCCCAGTCTATCTGCACAGAGCTCCTCACAGTAGAACAAACATAAATACGCAGCCCAAATTCAGGTGAAATAAAATCTTTTGCTTTATTCTGGTTCCTGGAAGCTCCAATGTGACTCTGAAAAAAGATGCAACAGAGGCAGCAGCCCCAGGGCTGGGTGCAGAGAACAGTCTCTGCTCCTTTGGCCCTGGGAGCCAAGAGGGCAGTGAGGAGAGGGCTTAGCTAGAGGTTGGTGGTCGAAGTTAGGTCCCCTGAGACCCCCTGGCCCTAGCCTGGGCCTGGAAGGTGGAGGAGGAGGGCTGAAGAGTCTGATCAGTTCCTTAGCAACTGCACCACGGGAGGACGTGGGCACGGGTCACTCCTCACCCTTCTCAGGGGTACTGAGCTCCCGGGGCCACTTGGGAGCCCCCAGAGGCTCAGCCTCAGGACTCAGCCTTGGCTCCCCCAGGGGTCCTTCACCCTCCAAGTCCAGCTCCTCAAAGGATGAGCCGCTGGCACCCGACTCGCTGTAGCTGTGCTCACTGCGGGTGTCACTGTCGTCCCAGCCGCGGCTGCTCGCCCCAGGGGACAGTGTGGCAGCTGAAGTCTCTCGACTGCCAGGGCCCACCTCCAGGCTCACAGAACTTGTGTCACTCAGCGTGTCAGCTCCTGGGCCAGGAAGAGGGAGTGCAGGTTAGCGAGGACCCTGCCCTCCTCCAGGGAGAGGACAGAGCTCTACCACCAGAGCAACTCAGCATACAGCGCGCTCATGAATAATAAAGCCACCCTGGCTCCGGAGGCTCGTTCCAGCCGCCCTCTGCCCTCTGCCCTCTGCCCTGACCAGCTGCACTGACAGGGCAGAGGGAGGGAGGAGGAGGAAGTGGGGGAGGGCAGCCTGCTGTGCACTCCTCTCCCAGCTCCAAATTAGCCTCAGCTCCCCGCATTCCCACAAAGCCTCCCCCACCCCCCAACAGCCCATTAAGGACCACTAAGCCCTGAGGTGAGAAGCTGAGGGTAGAACAGAGAGACCCAAGTGGTGCCCCTCCTCCACCCCATTTCAGGACTGGAGGGAGGTTTGTCCCTGGCCAACTGCTGAATGTTGCCCATAAGGAGTGAGGACAGGAAAATAGACCCGGAGGCCAGCCCTCCTCTCCCCCTCCCCCCATGGAGGGCTCCCCAAGGAGCAACCGTACGCAGGAAGTCAGCTGGCCCCTGCCTCTGGCTGAGTTGAACAAGATTTGAGGAGGTGGCTGGGGCAGGAATGAGTGGAGAGTCCTGAGAAATCCTTTACCAGCTGCACAAAAGGAGGGCGGTGGGAGGAAGCACTTTAAGGGCGTTTGTCCCCTATGCCTGGGTCACCCCAGAGGAGCTCTTACCTACCCCCAACCACTGGTGGTTCCTTAGCCACAAAGCAGGAGGGGCCGTAAGAGTACTCTGTTGGCAACCGGGGAGCCTGAGACAGTGCCTAGCGGGGCTGCGGGTCCAGATCCCCCCAGCCTGCTCCTCCCACACCCACATGTGCTCTAGGCAAGCAGCCCTTCATCTGCCCTGTTTAGGAGCAAACCTTCAATTCATCTCCCCAGATCAGAGGCACTGACTGCAGTTGGAGGTGACAAAGAGGGCAAGGAGCTCAGGCCCACTGTGTGCAGGACTCCAGATTGAGAGGAAGCTGATTGGCCTCCTCTCCTGGGTGAGAGAGAGGGGCAGCTGTCTAATATCACAGAAGGTGAGGGGTGGGCCAGCTTTCCCAGATCCTGTCTCCATAGTGATGGAGTGCCGAGCCTGGTGCAGCTGGGGAATGCCTGACATTTGGACTTGGCCTGGAACTTTCACTAAGCTTCAGCTGGAGTCCAGGGTGGGGGTGGGGGAATTTGGGGTCTGCCCCCCTAGTCCCTCTGGCCCTGAGATGATGCCCTCTGGGCCCTACTGGCAGAGGTGAGCCCTGGAAGGACCAGGCTGCTGGCCCAGGGCCCTCTTCTTACTGGGGCCCCAGTCATAGTTCCCAGGGTGCCATTCAAGAGTGAGTTGGGGCCATGTGCAGATTTAGGAGTGCTTCCCTCTGACCCTGGGTCAGAATTCCAGATCATTTGCTCCTTAAATAATGACCAGTGCTCTAGGGGCTGCAGGCCTGAAAGGAGCAAAAGAGAGGGACAGGTTCTCACTGGTCCCATTAAATTCTCATGTTCTTCCCACCCACTGGCTCTCTTGGGACCTGGGTATAGAAACCTCTCTCCTGGCTCCCATTCTAGGAGTGATCAGAGGAAGGAGCCCACGGGTGCCCCTCAGGCCAGAGCCCAGTATGCCGTGATGAGGACAGCCCCTGGGACTTGTGGACATTTCTTGCAAAGGAGTATAAGGCAGGGAATCAACACCCCACCTAAATCCCCAGGGCTGCTGGGGCAGGGAATGAAGCTGCCACCTTCACCCCAGTCCCCACCTCCTCCACTGCCCACAGCCAGTGCAAAATCAAATATTCATCGCCTCTCTGGAGCTAAATAATACATCAATGTAATAACAGGCACAAGGCAGCTAATCACCCCCTTTCACCTCTGAGCCTAAGAGGGACTCCAGCAGGGAGGCAGGAGGGGACAGGCCAAGCCTTGGGCGGCCAGGCACCCACCTGCAAGTGGCATGCACCTGGCAGGCAGACACCCAGAGTCCGCCCCAGTGTCAGGGCAGACCCTGTCAGAAGTGGGTAGCCCCTCAGCCCCCATGCCAGAAAGTGAGCAGGCAACTGGTGGGAGGACAGGCCCAGGAGCTAGGGGCGTGGGAGCCTGGCTGTAGCCAGCTGTAGAGGGTGCCAAGCAGTCCTTCATGCCCCTGGCAGGTGGTGTTTGGGAGGGAGGCTGGGTGGGTGGCCGAAAGAGGGGGAGAGGCAGCAGGGGGGGTTTGAAGGAAGGTCAAGGTGCTCCCCCTTCCTGCCCTGGAGACTGCCTGGGCCTGCTGACCTTGGGCCACATCCTGTGTCCACGGTAAGGGCACTGAAGAGTGTCTGCCAGGCACTACAGGAGGGTGGGAGCGGTGCCCCGTGGAGGTAATTAAGTGGCAGATGAAGCTAACTGTGTTGGACACAGCCCCTAGGGAGTGGAGACTGCCTCTCATACCCCCCACCCCTGACAACACATGCCTCTCTAGGGTGACCTTGACTGTTGAAGAATGGACAAAGGGAGTCTCCTAAAGAGAAAGTGGAGGGACAGCCACTCTCCTTCCAGCCTGTTCCACTCCCACAGGTGACGACCTCCAGACTCACATGAGGTTCCATAATCGTGGCCAAGGGTCAGACCCCTGGGACCACCTGGGATGTTACCAGCAGGTCTCCTCACCCTTGGGGACAGCTCACGGTCATAAGAGGTCATGGCAGGGGGTGAGCTGAGAGCAGGCAAGCATCCTCTGCCCTGGACCTGGGGTGTGAAGGCTGGCTCTGGTGGGAGGGCCGGGCACTGATCTGCTGGCCCCCTGCACGCTTTCTGGCTGCTCTTTGGCAGGGAGAAGGCGGTGGGCTCTGGGCAGGGCCCCATACTGGGGGACAGAACACTTGGTTCCCCTTCTTACCTTCCAGATCCAGTGCCAATCTTATTTCCTGATGAGCCCCACCCAAGGGACGCCTTTCCTGAGCAGCCTCAGCCCCCTCCCATGAGCATCCAGCTGTCTGTGATCTGTTTCCAAGGGTACTCCTGTGGCATCTGAAGGGAATCCAGGCAGAATCTTTGCATCTGTGTTGCCAGGGGTAACATGTATGAATCCACACCTACGTTGCCCCACATGTCTGGGAACAGCCAACTCTGCCTGTGGGTCCTGGGTGGGGAGGTCTTCTTCCACCTCGGCCATGCTTAGCCTGGACACCTGCAGGGCAGCCCAGCCAGAAAGGAGGCTCCTCAACCACGCCCCGCATGCCAGAGAGAGGGCTCCAGGCAGACCCACCCGTCCCCTGCCCCTGTACCTGTGCCATCAATTTGGGCATCACTGGCCTCCGCAGGCCCCCGGCCTTTCCGCTCTGTCTCCTTCACCTCAGGCACATAGAAGTCTCCCTGCCGCGCCAGAGGGCACATGAAATAGATCTGGTCTTGCTGGTAGATCTCCAGCCGAGGGTGGGCACACAGCTTCCGCTCCTTGTCAGAGAGGGGCAAAACGTGGAATGAGCCCTACATGGGCCCCTGCGTGGCTATTGTCTATTCTCTCCCAAGGGGCTGGCTCTGCCTCTTGCCCCAATCTCCCTCAAGTTCTAAACCCTGCTGAGGGAGGCACACACAGACTACCCTAAGGGCAGGGCCCCCCCACTCCAGGGGGGTAGTGGTCTGAGGACCCAGGAGTTCTTGGGGCAACACTCTAAAACAAGTCCTAAGAGAACCCAAGAGCCTGTCACTTTTAATCCTATGTGCACATCTGGGACCAAAGGCTGTTCCAGAAAGCACTGGCCTCACACAGCCATGAAGCTTAACACCTCGGACCACCCTAGGACAGGGACCCCATGAACTATGGCCCTAGGCGCCCAAGCCAAGCCAAGCCAAGCCAAGCCAAGCCAAGCCAAGCCAAGGTCTGACTTGCCAGACTTTTCATTCCAGGCCCCCTGGCCCTGACCTCCTCTCCACCTTGGATAATACTGACCCACAGAGACCAGGAGAGGCCAGTGCCCTGACCCCGAGGCCTCCAGCCCCTGCCCTTGCAGACATGTTACTGACAAATCCTGAACAGGGGCTCCTGGACAGCTAACCCCCTCCTTCCACTCCCATTCTCCTGCAAGTTCAGGTCTATGCCAACCTCTGAGAGTATCAGATGTGGTTGGTTCCCAGCCCTTCTTGCACCTGGGCGCAGAGTTTCAGCCGAGGGGAGGAGCCAGACTCTAGGCTGGAGAGGCAGGCAGGACAAATATATTGAACAATGGACATGACCCTAACTCCCCAATGGGTTAAAGTACCAGCTTACAGGCCCCCAAGTTCTGAGACAGGCACTCCACTGCCCTCTGCCTGGACCGTGTGTGGGTGGAGGGGCCCACTCCTGCCAGAGGTGCCCTGAGGCAGGTGGGAATAAGCAGAGCAGGGTGAAGCGCATCCTGCTCCTGAGCCTGCCCTGCCGCTGCAACTGAACCGATCGCAACCACCACCACGATGATGACCATGATGACCGCAAGGCCCCTGCCCTGCCACTGCTCACCCGCCAACCTTCACAACATGGCTATTTATGGCACCGCCAGCTCTCACCACGAGCTCTGAAATGAACCTTCCACTTAGCAGTAATGAGAGACTCAGTGGCGGGCAAGCAGAAGCCACTCCAGGACTCCACTTGTCTGCCTGCAGGCCGAGCTGAGGTTGAGGAGCCCCCTCCAATTAAAGCAAGTGAAGAGGGGTAAAAAACAAGCCTCCCAGAAGCGGGAGCCTGAAAGATTTTTCTAGTCAGCCCTCCACAGCCAGCTGGAGGCAGGGCGCATCTAGGAGGCAATGTGGAGGTGGATGGCCTGGCCCAAGGTCTTGCTGCAGCTCAGCCTCTGACTCCATGGGGGACTCAGGCAAGGCTTGTTTCCTAAGTCTCCCTGTGCTCAGAGGCAGAGTGGGACAACCTAGCCCTGAAACTTCCAGGGTCAGTGAAGGAAAGTCATCATTTTTAATAGTTTGAGCCAATCTTTTCTGCCAACCTGGGTGCTCTCTGGGCCATCTCATGAGTCCATGCCCCAAGCTCCTCCCATCTCTCAGCACAAGGATGGTTGCCTCCATTTCCCCACAGCCCAAACACTCAGTCCCTGGTCCATCAGGCAGTGGGAGCAACCGGGCTTTGGGACTCTTCTGATACCAACACTTGGAGGTGGGCATCTGCCAAACCTAAGCCCCTCTCAGTGAAATGGGCCATGTCACCAAGGCCAGGGTGGCTCCTTAAAGAAGGTCCAGGTCCTTTCCTGGTAGCCAGAGAGAAGCAAAAGGAAAAGGGCCCCCGAATCCAATCAGGACATGGCCTTCACCAGCATTCCCGTGCTCTGGGCATTCAAAGGGCCCACAAAGAAATGCCTAGTGGCCATCAGTTACCTGGTGGCCCATCTCTCAAGGGCTGTAGACAGCTGGCTTTTGGGGATGCTCCCAGGAACCAGAGCCTGTGCTCACCTAGAAACTCCAAGGACAATGGAGCTCCAGCCCAACCCTTGCCAACACTCAAGCCCACCTATCTTCCCTTCTGGGAGTAACGAGGGTGATAAGAGGAGGAGTGCTCTTTCCATCCTCCTTTCTAAGCTGGGCACTAGGGTGGGCAGCACCAGGCAGCCACCTTTGCCACCTGCTCTGCCAGCCCCCTCATTGGCAGGCGGGAGGCAGCTCTGTGGCTGCTCTGCGCATCTGCCTCCTCCGGAGAGCCGGGCTCTGAAGTTGCCTGGCTGTGGACAGCCCTGTTGCCATGGAAACTGCATCCTCCATCCTTGCCGTCGCCTTCATCTCAAAGCCATCGGGAGAACAGAGGAACAGGGAGATGGGAGGGAGAGAAAACTGTGGCCTGACTACACAGCCCCTCCCTCTCTGCCCAGCCCTCCCTCCTCATAGCATCCCATACAGGAAGCACCAGCTGCCCAAGCCTGCCCCTGGCCCCTGGAGGGGCAGCCTCATACCCAAGCCCAGCCCAATCCTACTCCCACCACCTGGAGACCCCGGCTCTCCCTACTGGATGGAGACACAGAGCTAATTAAAATCTCATTGACGGCTCAGCCCCAAATCATTTTAACACATGCTGGGTCCTGTCAAAATTCAGACTCAGGGACATGAAAAAGGCAAAGGCACAAACTTCCACTCCAGATCCATAGGCAAGGGACAGGCTTAGAGATGTCCCTGCAGCCCCTCTGGGAGACCCCTCTCGATGGTCTGCCCACTGAGCAATAATGAGTCCAGTGGGGGCTAGGGATGGAAGGTGAGGGCCAGGACTAGCCATATGACCTGTCCCTAAGTGATCAGGCAGAGGGGACAAGGCCGTTTCCTCCCAGCCAGGTGCAGCCTCTGAGGGGAGAGGGGCCAACTCTCAGGTCCTCACTGCGCAGCAGGAGCTGTGGCCCAGGCAGCATGTCGATGAGCTGGTAAATATTGGAAAAGCAGTGAAGGAAGGCAAGGGCAGCTGCCTCTCCCTCAGCTAGCCCCAGGGAGCCCTCAGAGAGCAGACTGCCAAGAGCCAAGGACACCAGGTCAGTGCCACACTGGGCTGGTGCTGCTGGGGAAAGGGGCCTGAAGTCCTCCCAGCCCTGAGCATACCCCTTCCCACAGCCCAGACAGCCAGGAGCTTGAGGAAGCATCACTGGGACAGGGGAAATTGCTCTGGCCACTGAAGCCACTGGCCATCTGATGAGGCCAGACCCAGGGCAACTCACACCCACGCACGGACTCAAAGGGACCACAAGGCCCCTCGCCAAGGTGGGAGAGATGCAGACATCCACAATCCTCCCCATCTGACAGAAAGCAGCTAATCAGGCCAAGGTGCCACCTGGAGCTGCTAGAAACTAACCCTGAGACACACCTCCAAGGTTTCCCTCCCACCTGGACCTCCTACAAGCAGAAAGAAGGAGGGACAAGGCACACTACCCCTAATGCGGGATTTCCAGGAGACCTCAGTCACCAGCACTTCCTCCCTACCACCCTGTACTCACACCAGCTCACTTCCCAGGAGTCCTGGCAGACAAGGGAAGAGCAGTGCACACAAGGCTGCCACAGTGCCACTGTCCCAGCTACCTTGGGGACATACCACACACCTCACCTCAAGTGCTCATCTGCTGGGTGGAGGGCAAGCATTCAGCCCACGCAGCTCTGGGCTCCTGCAAAGGGGCTAATCTGGCTGCTGAGCCAAGGTTTCCCATAGGACCCACAGTGCCTCCCCTGGTAGTTCTTACCGAATTAGGGGAGGGGGGGCAGGTGGGGAGAACTACCCTCATCTGATGTTCTACTTCAGCTAGGTGTGGGGGCAGAAGAGATCAGGCCCAGGTGGATACTAAGGGTAGATGCCACTCCCAGGCTGCCTAGAGGCTAAGTCTGCTCCGAGCTAAGTGACCTCAAATTCCCAAAAGGACGAAGCAATGGGTGCAGGCTAAGGACTGGGTCACGCATCTCTTACATGAGTCCTAGACCCCGGAAGGGATGAGGTCTGCTCCTTCAGTCTCCAGCCAGTCGCAGCCCCTTACCTCCTGCCTCAGTGCAGTGAGGGACCCTGGCCCTCCCTATTCGGCCTGAGATGCCCAGTCCTACCCAACCCTCCACACTGGGCTGGACAGCTGGGCAACCACACAGCCAGCAAACAGCTGTTGCACCCCACCAGAGGTGGTGGCATGTCTGTGTTGGGTGAAGTGAGGCATGCTCATTTTTAATTACACAGACACCAATGCGCACCCGCCCTGCACACAGCAAGCCCCAGAGTGGGGGCTCCGGCCCTGGAGGCCCTTAGGCAGCTGGTCTGCATCACAAGTGCAAAGTGATGCAAAGTGATGGGGGAGGCGCAGCAGGGCTGCTGTTGGAACGTGGCACATTGTTATTACTCTGCCCAGGAACTTCTGTCAGCTTCCCTCTCCCTGGCTCCCTCTCATCCCCACTGGACCTCCCAGCAGCCTCTAGCCCAGAACCTAAGCCTGTCCGTGGGGCTGGATGTGACAGCAGGGAGAACCCCCCCCCTTGTAGAAGGAGGGCCCGAAGCTCTGAAAATGACAGGCAAAGAAGACAAGGAGTGAGATGGGGCTGCCAGGGAGGACAGAGAGAGGACAGGAAGTGGCGAGAGCCCTAGGCAGGAGGCCAGAGCCTAGGTATAGCTACTAGTACAGATGGGTGGCTTCTTTCTGGATCTCAATCCCCCAACTATATGATACAAAGATTGAAACAGAGGCTCTCAAAAGAAGTGAGGAACTAAAAAAGATGAATAAAACACCACTACTTAAAGGTATACCCCAAACCCCCAAAATCAATGGAGAAACTGCCACAAACATTAAGGTCACACAATTACCAACAGCACAGCACATTTTTCTGAGCACTAGTCAGACAGTTAGAAAACATAACAGAAGAATGAAGGCCCTCTTGGGGACGGGTCTAGCCCCTGGCTAGCCTAGGAGTCCCCCTGAAAGTCAGAGGAGCAGGGCCTGGGCAAAAGCCTGGGAAGCCTGAGAAAGGGG